GGTCCCCGTGGGGTGCCGCCCACATTCAGAGAGGGTTTTCCACCTCGATTAACCCAGTTAAGAAAGTCTCTCAGGGCTGGAGAGACATGGCTCAGTGGTTAAGAGCTTTGGCTGCTCTTGCAGAGGACCTGGGTTCAATTCTCAGCACCCACATAACAACTAACAACTGTCTGTAGCTCCAGTTACAGGGAATCTGATGCCCTCTTCAGGGGCTCCCCTGGTATTGCACTTACATACATGCAGGCTAAACACCCAAAGACATAAAAAAAATCTCACCAGGTGTGGTAACAGAAGACTTTAATCCAGCATTCAGGAGGCAGAAGCAGGCAGGTCTCTGTGAGTTTGAGGTCAGCCTGGTCTACAGGCCAGTCAGTGAGACTCTGTCTCCAAAAATAAATAAAATTAAATCCTTCACATGTGTGCCCACTGGTCATCCTAATCTAAGCAACTCCTTCCTCACTGAGACCGCCCCTCAGGTGATCCTACATGTGTCAGGATGACGATCAAAACTAACCATCACATGCCAGGCGTGGTGGCGCACGCCTGTAGTCCCAGCACTCTGGAGGCAGAGGTAGGCGGATCTGTGGGAGTTCAAGGCCAGCCTGGTCTACATAGTGAGTTCCAGGACAGCTCAGGCTACAGGGAGACCCTGTCTCAAAAAGACCGAAAAAACAAAACAAAACAACAACAACAAAAAACTAACCATCACAATTTGTTTCTCTGTGAATGGGACCTAGGACCTTCTATATGTTAGCCGAGTGTTCCACCACTAAACCACACTCCCAGCTCTGGGAACAGGAACTTCACAATGCACAGAGTATGTCTGATTAGAAGGAGTGAAAAGGGGACAGTGTGTCTAAGGCAAAGGGCTGGTCAAGTTTCCGACTACGGCAGCAGAATGAAGGGTGAAGCACTTCCCTGGAAAGGTTATAGAGACGCAAAGTGGTGATGGTTACACACAGTGTGGGTGTGTATATAAAAGAATCGGAACAGTTATTTCTATGGTTTGTCATTTTTACTTTGTTTTTTATTTTTGATTTTTTGAGATAGGGTCTCCCTGTAGCCCCAGCTGTCCTAGAATTCCCTATGTAGACCAGGCTGGCCTCCTGATCCTCCTGCCTCTGCCTCCTAGGAGTGCTAGGATTACAGGTGTGTCACCACACTTGGTTTATGTGGTACTGGGGATCAAACCCAGGGCTTCATGCATTCTGGGCAAGCACCGTAACCAAGCTACAGCCCTAGCCTGGTATGCCAACAGAAAATGCTGGGCTGGAGAGACGGCTCAGTGGTTAAGAACACTGGCTGTTCTTGCAAAGGGCCCAGGTTCAATTCCCAGCACCCACAGGGCAGCTGACAACTGTCTATAACTCCAGTTCCAAGGGATCTGACAC